CGCTCCCATGGAAGGGGTAGAGGACACGGGAAAACCCGAAAGTTAGCCTTCAGTTTAGAGGAAGGCAGAGTAAAGGTCCTGCAGGTCAACCTTCATCATGCTAAAGCTGCGTCGGCGGTTTTGTGCAGAAGGTTTGACATGGAAGGCCTGGACTTAGCCCTACTGCAGGAACCATGGCTCCACGGAGGGAAGGTTGCAGGCTTGAAGCCGCAACAAGGTAAGTTACTATACGATGCGAAAGGAGAGACACCTCGAGCATGCATTGTATATGGTAACGAAGTAAACTGTACACTGATTCCGGATCTTTGCTCCGGAGACTTTGCTACAGGTATTTTAACCGCTTCCACCGAGGAAGGTAGTAAAAGATGGTTGGTCTGTTCTGCCTACTTCGCTGGAGAGAAGGTCTTCCGCCCAGGCATAGTAGAGGACGTTATAACCTACAGCCGAAGGGAGAACCTTCATCTAATACTGGGATGTGATGCCAATGCCCACCATCTGGCATGGGGGAGTACGAACATCAACAGTCGAGGTGAGTCTTTACTACAGTTCATTTTAAGCATGGGTTTAGAAATAGCCAATATAGGAAATAAACCTACCTTCGTTACGGCCACGCGCAAAGAAGTCTTAGATGTAACACTTTGCAGTGAAAAAACGTACGATACTATAAAGAATTGGCATGTGTCAGAGGAACCTTCATGTTCCGACCATAGGCACATTCGATTTGATTTAATTACTTCGACTCGAATGGTGGCAAGGTTCAGGAACCCGAGAGAGACGGATTGGGAAGGCTATAGAGGCTCACTCGAGAAGTCTCTTGAGGGAGGAATCGGCACCATAAAAGATACGGAAGATCTCGAACTGACAGTCGAAACGGTGAGGGGAGCTGTTCTGGCCGCTTACCAGGAGAATTGTCCAGAGAGAGAAAAGAAAGGAAAGAAAAAACACACCCTGGTGGAATGAACACTTACAAAAGCTTAGGGCAGATGTAAGAAGGCTATTCAATAAAGCCAAATTCAACCAGGACTGGGCCATTTATAGAGAAAAACTGACGCAATATAATATGGAGATCCGAAAAGCCAAAAGAGACTCGTGGCGAAAGTTCTGCGAGGAAGTCAAACAGGCTCCCGCATGTTCCAGAATCCACAAGGTCCTGGCTAAGGATGGTATTGCGAATCAGGTCGGCCTCTTGAAGAAAGAGGACGAAACGTATGTAGAAACCCTGGAGGAAAGCTTAATAATGCTCACCAAGGTACATTTTCCCAGCTCATCCATTGACAATAATCCTTCGGTAGAGGTGGCTCATCCCAGAAGGCCTACTAAGGCGGACTGGAAATTAGCTACCGACATCACGAGACCGGAAAAAGTCAGGTGGGCCATCAATAAATTCCAGCCATACAAATCACCTGGAATGGACGGGATTTATCCAGTCTTGCTACAGAAGGGACAGGATGTGATCATCCCGCATCTAACAAAGATCTCAAAGCTAGTTTGGCATGGAGATATATTCCAACTGCATGGCGAAGGGTGAAAGTCACATATATCCCCAAGGTTGGTAGGGTAATGGACCAGACCCCCAAGTCATACAGACCAATAAGTCTATCCTCTTTCCTAGCAAAAACGTTGGAAAGATTGATAGACAGGTATATTAGGGACGAAGTGCTGATGGAGAATCCACTTAGCGATCGCCAATATGCATACCAGCCAGGAAAGTCAACTGACTTGGCGCTGGATGATCTTAACAGACTGCTCTCAAAGTCGCTAGATGACAAGGAGATAGCGGTGGCGACGTTTCTGGACGTGGAGGGAGCGTTTAATAACGTCTCCTTCGAGTCTGTAACGAACGCGCTTAAAAGGAGAGGAGTTCCTGCCTTCATATGCGAGTGGACAAAGGCGACCTTAACAAACAGGATCATTGTGTCCTCGTTAGGTGAAGCCACTATTGAAGCGAAGGCAGGAAGCGGCTGCCCACAAGGAGGAGTTTTATCCCCATTACTGTGGGCTACGCTTATGGACGACCTACTTAATACACTGTCCAGGGAGGGTTTTTACTGCCTGGGTTATGCGGACGATTTGGTAATTGTAGTCCGAGGACGCTTTACCAAAATAATTTCGGAGAGACTTCAAGTCGCTCTGAGGATGGTGGACAGCTGGTGTGAGGAAGAAGGCCTAAAGGTTAACCCTAAAAAAACATCTGTTGTTCCCTTCACCAGGAAAAGAGCACTGCAAGGCTTACAACCACTAGCGCTCAAGGGAGTAGAAATCCCATTCACAAGTCAGGCCAAGTACTTAGGTGTAATATTCGACCAGAGGCTGACATGGAATGCACACATTCAGAAAGTCACACAGAAGGCCACTATGGCCCTGAATACATGTAGACGAATGTGTGGTAAGAATTGGGGGTTAAATCCTAAAATGAACCTCTGGTTATACACAAGGGTTATAAGGCCCATGATAACTTATGGTTCAGTGGCGTGGTGGAACAAAACGCAACAGTCCGGGGCGATTCGATTGCTCAGTAGCACACAAAGGCTTGCATGCTTGAGTGTTACAGGAGCCATGAGAACAGCCCCAACGGACGCGCTAGAAGTTCTGCTAAACCTACCACCTCTACATATATACATACAGAGTGAAGCCAGATCAACAGTACATCGGTTGATCCAAGGCCAAGCTCCAATAAGTACGATGCAGGGAGCTGATAACTTAAGGCTATACCAGGACATAAAGGCAGACCCCGTTCTAGGAATGCCTGTAGACCGAATGGTTACGAGGTATAGTTTTAACAAAAATTTTCAAATTACAATACCAAAAAGAGAGGACTGGGAAACTGGTCCGCCGCTAACAGCAAACTCAATATGGTATACGGACGGCTCCAAAACGGATACAGGTACGGGGGCTGGAATATATGGCATAAAACCAAGGACGGAAGTCCGGGTATGGCTAGGAACATACGCGACCGTATTTCAAGCCGAATTAGCTGCTATACACAGGTGCGCTATGGAACTAATCGGCCGAAATGTAGATAACGACTCCATCGTCATCTATTCGGATAGTCAAGCGGCTCTAAAGGCTCTCAGTTCGGTAGAGGTCGATTCATGGCTGGTATGGAACTGTTTGGATGTCCTCTCTCAGGTAGGAAGTCGAAACAGGTTGACACTTGCCTGGGTGCCGGGACATAAGGGCCATCGTGGCAACGAGAAGGCCGACGAATTGGCCCGAGAAGGCGCATCTACGCCACTGGTTGGTCCGGAACCCTTCTTTGGAATCGCAAATACGATAAAAAGGGCAGCCATACACAAATGGGTGCAACAGAAGTCTCTTGAGTGGTGGAACAACTCACCAGGACAGAGGCAGGCCAAACAGTTCATCAAAGAACATTCGGCTAAATTTACAGCAGACTTACTTTCGCACAGACGCAGGACTGTCAGAATGATAGTGGGTCTGCTCACTGGGCACTGTAGACTCAATAGACACTTGAGTCTCATAGGCCTGACAGAAGAGGACACCTGTCGTTTCTGTCTGGAAGAAGAGGAAACCGCTCTACACGTTCTGTGCCATTGCGAAGGTCTCGCACGAATGCGGTTTCTAGAACTCGGAGAGGAAAAACCGGAAGCACCAGGCTACATGAAAAGGCCACTATCAAGGCTGTTGAGTCTCATTAAGAGGACCAAGCTAGATGAAGTGCTTTAAAATAAGGGGGGAACACAATAGATCTGCAAAGGTCGCAGTGTATCAGGCTCTATTGGCCGCCCATTTTCTACATTCTACATTCTACCTCTTTCAACCATTAGTTCTAGAATGTCTGGTGTCATCCACACCTTATGTTTCTTTGCAGATTTGGTTAGGTGTTTCTCTCTTTCTCGTAGTTCTTATTATAGTATTTATATACTTAAGTTTTTCATCTATGTTGTCTGTTCTGCGGATTTGGCTTGCTGCTACACTGGGGCTGGTGTTTATTTCTTCTCGCACTGTTTGTCGTAGATATTCATTTTTAAGCTGGCTTAAGTCTAATGCTGGAATGATGGCTTTTCTTATTTTCTTTGGTCTAGCTTCTATCACACATACTACTCTATTATGATCCGAACCGATATCAGCTCCAGGGAAAGTTTTAGTAGATTTTACAGCATTAAGGTATCTTTTGGCACCAATATGTAATCTATTTGGTTTCTGACCACTTTTTCTTGTGTATGTTGAGGTGACGTCCACGTATATAGTCGCCTTGGGGGTAGTTTAAAGAATGTATTAGTTATTATTAAATCTTCGCTTTGACAAAACTGAACTAAACGATCACTCCTCTCATTTCTATTACCTAAGCCATATTCACCGACATTTTCTCCAACTTTACCCTGACCTACCTTGGCGTTCAGATCGCCCATTACTATGTTAATGTGTTGTCTCTTTGTTGTTCTCATCACCTCTTCTAAGATATTATAGAATTGTTCTATTTCCTCTTCGTCTTTGTCTGCTGTAGGAGCGTACACTTGTATGATGTTAACTGTATGATGGACGGATCAGGTACAGAAAGCCAGTGGAAAAACATTTTCAGAATCCATGAGGGAAGCTCAGGACAGAAGCCGATGGAAAGAGATAGTGGCTCGTATTATAGGGAATCACGACACTCAGCAATGAGGAAACGACTGAGGAGAGAGAGAGAACTGTATGTAGTTAACTGTATGCCATCAATCACTAAAGTTTATTTAAAATATCCCTTTCGGGTTACATCACAGAACGTTTTCGAACTAAAAAGCCCATCATCAGTGTTTTGTTACTCAGAGCACATGTGTTATCCCACTAAATAAGTATTAAGGTTTTTACCCAGGTAATTAGGAACCTAACTCATGTGCACTGAGTAACAAAACATTGATGATGGGCTTTTTGGTCCGAAAACGTTCTGTAATATAACTCGAAAGGTATTTTAAATTATATACCTTTTATAAAGGATTTTAATTAAACTTAAATAAAAAAAGTCCTAATTTTGTTATGTAAATAGGATTCGCAAGAAGTAGACCAGGAAGATCAACAAGCAGATAGTGATTTTGGCTTGTGCGCTGCACAAATTGTCATCACTGCCGCTACTCCTATGATGGAAGAAGCGGCTAGTCCCTTTCCGCCTCCGGAAGAGTCAGAGGTGAATCACAAAGACGGAGGTAAGGATCCCTCGTCTATTCCCGAAGAAGACGAAGAAGATTCGAAGCCCCCGCCATCTCATCCACCCGTGGAAAACGATAATAAGCGACAAGAAACTATGGACGATTTGGAGGAAGTTTTTGAGGATCATCATGCTGATACGCCTTTTGTGGTAAGAATGTTTCTTTAGTAATAAATAGTTTTAATAAAAATTAATGGTAAAATCCCAGTAGTTGGCTGTATACCATCGTTTAAAAAAACTTATACAGAAGTTAACACACCATTTGTATTTAGGTATAAAAAATATATAATTAAAACTTTTAAAAAGTGTCGTCAAAATTTATACAGTAGCATAACGTGACGTTTTCGATCTAATCAGATCATCTTCAGTGCCTTCTTATGTATTTGAAGCTAACACTAAACTGAGGGTTGGTCTGTGTCGCTTTAACTGACAAGAATCTGTAACGAGAACGTTACTTTAATATTTCGTAAACATTTTTAAATAAATTTTAGAATTCCGATCCTCTTAATGACTTTTTGAATTTTAAAATTTAAGTTGGTAGTAAGCAACGCCATCTACGACGCTGTAAGGACCATGACCATCGGTCTAATAATTAGCGATCATCCTGGTTTTGACTTTTTGAGAAAGAACATCGTTTAACAGGGTAGGCGACAGCCGCCGGCTAAATATATTTTAAGAATAATAATTTTGTTGGGGAAGGAAGAATACAGTTTTTTTAGTTGTTTGATAGTGTTTAATCGTTAATTTAGAAGCCGCTACTAGTCGGTGAGTTGATAACTATAAATTAGATTATAAATAAAAAGTGTATAAACTATCAGCCATTTTATCTTCTATAATATCGTCACTTTTTCTTCGATAGTGTAATATCTATCTATCATTTCTCACATTATTTCCTTAAGAACCATTCTGGATTTATATATAATACTGTTATAAAATCATACCAATTTCCTATTTTATTTCCCAGCTTTAAAAACATATGATTATCCATCGTTAAATTATCTATTATCTAATAAGACTATCTGTAAAAATATTCCGCCTTATACCGTCCTTTTATATTCAAAAATATATCCGTGTATCAAAAATATTTCCTTAAAATTATCGATTTCATCAATTTATTTTACATCAAATAGTGTTAGACTTTTTTGCTAAACTTTCTGTCATATTTTTTCCCATCTTTTTATTAAGTGTAAGAAGGAATTGTAACACAAGTGTTCTTTTTAGCCTACCCCCAAGAAGTTAAATCCTGAATCAAGGATTTCATTTTATTTAATTTTGTTGGGGAATTAAATTACACTCAGAAAAGAGATTACGTTACAATTTGCCATTTGCCGACTGATCCATCAGTGGTCCAGCTCCCGACTACTCTTGGACCAATTCCGGATACCAGCCGAAAGACCTCCCTTATTTAGAGGGTGAAACCTTCTTAATTTCTATATTGTTTTTTTCATTAATTTAATAATTTTGGTCATATTTTTCTTTCAATCATAAACATTAATATTTCACTTAATAATAAAGACTTGTCATTTTTTTCTAAATAATTATAAACCACATAAGTATTAATTTTTTTACGTTCAGGTTGAGGTTTTAAATCCTCCCTTGTAACTCAGTTGTACGATTTTTTGTGTACACATTTAATCAGAGAGTTATTTTTTTTAGATTTTATTATCATTATATATTTAAACATTTGGACACTTATCTCGTCAAGATAGTGTCCTTATTACTTGTTATTATTATGTTCAATAAAGCCGGAATACAGAGTTGCATCTCTGAGGCAAATAAATTACCTTTTTAGGTCAATTATTACCATTTTTGTTTCCATATTTTGTTATTTGTAAATTTAGATCATCCAGGATCAGTTGTATAACCAGGGCATTTATTTTTTTGTATATAACTAGATTAGCTGTACATAATTGGTGGTGGGTATATTAAAATATATTTAGATTCTACATATTTGGCTAGGATTAAAGTTTTTGATGAAAACTAAATATTTCAATTCATACCTAGATCCTTTTTTTATTTCAGCAACTAGCTTTACAAGATACCTTGGAAAGTTTATGTTAATACTTTCCTGGCGCCCACTCACAATTTGGAGCAACTTCTATAACCATTTTTATTTGTCTTAGTTATATACCTATAGTTTTTTTTATTACCTTGTCATTCATTTTCTAATTCTATGGTCTCTGTAGGGCATGCAAATTGGCCGAATTCTCCTGTGAGTGCCAAGTATTCACTCTCCGGCACCTTCTGCTAGCCAGCTTAAATTATACGTTATCCTTGCCATTATCCTACCCGTTTTTATTAAGCATATTTTTAAGCATATTTTTATTCGCTAATGAGCATATTTTTATTACAAACCACGTGTTAAAACCGAGCAAGGTAACATGTAGCTCTTTGAGTATTAATTTTTATCCAATCTCATCGATCTAGAGTCACAAGGCTAGACTAAAATTTAAATTTGGAATAATGTAAAACCATATATGGATGTCTGATTATGCATGCACTGAAGATGATCTGATTACATCGAAAACGTCACGTGATACTACTGTATAAATTTTGACGACACTTTTTAAAAGTTTTAATTATATGTTGTTTATACCTAAATACAAATGTGAAGTATTTTAACTTCTGTATAAGTTTCAATAAACTTTCCTCATCTTTTTTAATTTATTACTACTTTGATTAAATTCTTCTTCTTCACCTTCTTCCTCTTTAAAAGCAATTCTGTTTGTTCATTGGTGGATTAATAACTCTATGAAAGGTTGTCATTCCATCTTTTGTGCGGTCGTTCGATACTTCTTCTGCCGATTGGTGACTTATGACTTATTGCTATTTTGATGTCACGGGTCTCCTCCATTCTGCTTATAATGTGGTTATTTCATTCTTTTTTTCTATTTTGTGTCCATTTATTTATACACTGTACGTTACATTTTCTTCTAATTTCTTCACTTCTCTTTCGATCTCTCAGCGTATTTCCCGTAATTCTTCTCAGTACTCTCATCTCTGCCATTTTCAGTAGGCTTTGCGTTGTGGCTGTGTCGGGTCTTGTTTCTAAGGCATACGTCATTAATGGTCTTGCACTGGCTTTATAAATTCTTGACTTCATCTCAGTAATAATGTGTGTTTTGCCATATAGTGTTATTAAGGCATCCTGCCAGTCTATTTGCCTTTTGTACTTGATCTCTTACTTCTTTGTCCAGGTCTCCATAGCTAGACATTGTAATTCCCAGGTATTTTATTAATTTATTATTTATTATTACTTGTTTAATACTGATGCCATCAATTTCTATTTTACATCTGGTTGGTTGTTTGCTGACTACTATTTTTTTAGTTTTCTGAGATAAGATTCTCATATTAAATTGTTTTGCTCTTATGTTAAATCTGTGGACCAGTCTTTGCAGACTATCTTCATCTTGGGCTATCAACTCCATTGCGTTGCCTGCGTAACAGAGTATTTTTATTTCTTTGTTTCCCCTTCTGTATTCTCTTTCTTTGTTAACGCTTTTGATGATTTCAAATGCATGATTAAATTGAATAGCAAGGGACTCAATGAGTCCCCTTATCTTATTCCCCTGTCTATTTCTATAGATTTTGTAAGTTTCTATAGGTTCCGTTTAACTTTTTTGGTATATTTTCCATGCGTTCTCTACTCATGTTAACTTCTCAATACAGTATATATTCTTTTTAGGTAAGCAGTAGTACAGGTAGTGATGGCGAAACAACAGGTCCCAGTACAGCGGAAAACTCAGTAAGTCAAGCACCTCCGGCGACCGAACCTGAAACTAAACAGGTGGTCGGTGGAAGAGCTAGCATCCCAGACGAATTAGAACCACACCAGTTGGCCCGCCTTCAAGACCTCAAAGAATCCAACGCCTAGAAGATATTTTAATTGAACGCGGTTTTTTTTGGTCAAAACAAGTACCAAAAAAGTATTTATTCATTTTTGAGGAAGTCATAGATTTACATGTGCTTCACACTATTAAAATGCAAACCGTTAACGTGATCAGATATCAGTAGTCAAGACTGCGGAAAGAGGTGTGAGATATGAAGTATATAGGGGCTGTCTTAAAGTTTTTTAGCAGAAATTGTTGCAGAACTTTTTACTTGATTTTAATATATTTTCATCACAGGTTTAAAGTATATTTAAATTAAGATTTATTTTCATTTACGGCTTTTTTGTTAATCAAAAACACAGTGAATGATGAAATTATCAAAGCGTAGTGGTAAAATTAAACTTTTCGTTAAAAAGAGTTTTAAAATAAAGTTTCAAAATATGTACGTGTTTGTTTATATTTTATGTTTTTATTCGGTAACCTGATATTGATACCGTGGTGGTACCGTGTTATAGAGTATAGTAATTTGTTCTTTCTCAATTTTCGTTCAACCGATTTTGGCGATTTAATCAGCGGTAAATTTGAATGCTGATATTGGACCAGAATCCAGTTTGGAATAATTTTAACATGCACAGATTACGCATGAGCAGTATTATTGCATTTCAAATGTAACGCTATCATAATAGCATATAATCTGTGTGCTTAAACCCGGCATCCGACAGAAGAAATTTTGTAACGCTGTTCGACACGTGGGATGTAACAAACCAGAAGTTGAAAATATACTCATTCTTATATCTCGTAGATTTTCGTAATAATATGTAATACTATAGCTTCAGAATACATTGCGGTAATAAATTCTAGAAGAACAATTGCTATTAAAAGTTTACTATTAAACATATAATATTGATTTTTTTTCGAGAAACTAGAAGAAACTACAATAGAAGGAGTATCTAGCTTATTAAAGAAAAAAACAGAATCAAATTCTACAGACTAATTATTGAGTTATCAGTTCTTAAAGTTGGAGAAATTTTCGCAGTATGTCATACAGTGTTCAAAACACAAAAAAAACTTCACATGTCTCACACACGTATCTAGTTTTCCTGTCTCTATATCTGGGAAATTTTGAACATCGTACCTGCTGATTAACTTTCCTCTTCTTTGCAGGCGGTACAGAATTTTTACCTAAAATCTTTCGGATACTGCTTTCTGTTACTAAGATTACTGCTACTACTCAATTGGAAACCCAGTTTCTTCAAGAAAAGCATTCTAGTAATGTTAAGATTCGTTGTTTTGTCTGTAAATGATCTGGCTATTGATTCCTGCAGATACAATATAAATTGTTCTCAAAATACAAATTGGGAATTTGTATTTTGAATATTAAATGAGTGATTTTTATTTCCAACACTCTTAAACATAATTCCCATTTCATCGTTTCTTCCTCTTCTTCCAGATGTCATGTGACATCTGGAAAGAAGTTAGAAAATTTCCACTGTATTTACCTATTGCTATCTTATCAGGTGTGCCAACATAACAAAATAAAAATAAACATGTTAATATACTGGTTAATAATTCTAATTTTTTTTTAAATAATTTAAAAGTCTATTTTTTTTAGAAGGCTCTAATAATTTCATCAGCTATTGTATGATTTTTTGTGTACTCCTCTTCATTCGTCATTATATGTTCGGTAGTGTAAATATAAATTAAATGTAAATAAAAATATTGAGGTTATGCAACAAGGACCAGCCATAGACATAATACAAATAGACTGACTGTTGAAATATAGGCCTGTTGCAGTCTATACAAATAGCTTACTGTTGCAAGTTATCCCAGTGCAACAGAGAAAAATGACGCAAAGCAGTCAATGTATTTCTTTCTAATTGACCGGGTTTATCGATCACGTGACCTTCCCATTGGTAATTTAGGTCAGGTGGTCAATAAACTCAGCCCATTATAAAAAGATGCAGACACTGCTTTATCAGTTTTCTCTATCACACTGAGGGAACGCGACTGTAATAACTTGCAATAGTAGTTAGTCTATTTGTATTATATGTCTATGGGACCAGCCATAAAATTTTAGGGTTGACGTTTTTGAAAATTTTGACATATGCAGAATAAAACGTGTACATTATAAAAGGATTCCGTGAATCCGTTTAAATATCAATACGTGGACATAAGTAGATACGTTATAAAAGTAATAGGAACAACGATTTCAAAAGTATAGATCCGACAACCCTTTTAGGTTTAGATAAAGATCCTGTGCCCGTATCGAAAAGCAGTTGTTAAATTAATAGCTTAATTTAGCTCCAGTATGAACAACAACAGGTTTTATTGGAGGTAACTACCAAGTAGACATTCTCTGGCAGTTAATCAAACTTTTGAGCCAAATGTTTTAGTTGGTTTATTATTAGGCATTTTAAACCACACAACATAACTTTTTTCTTGTTGAACCGATTCGAATTTGATTATAACAAGCTTTTCGACTACTTTTGTGGTGTCGTCTTCTGGATTTGATCTTGTTTTGTCTCTCATTCTTCTATTATGGATATCACAATCACTAATGTGGTCATGTATACATATGTGTAAGCATTCTTTACTGCCTTTATTTCTCATAATTCGCAACGAAACATTCTGCTTTACTAGGTTCTACCTGAGTAACTCTTTAGATTGTAGATTTCAGAGCAGTTTACACTTATAACTAGTTCAGCTGACTCATCTTCCAATGATTTATGGAAAGTATATCTAAAGTATAGATTGAATAGCATTGTCGAGAGAATACATCCCTGCCATACATCCTTCTGAATACTCATTTCCTCAGACATAGAGCCTTCGAGTTTTATTTTTGCCGTTTGACCTCAGTATAATCTAGATACTATTTGAACATCTTAATAATAAATGCTAGTACATTTATTGCAAACGGTGCTTCTCTGGTTCCCAAACTATTGCGAAATTCGAACTGTATATGTGATGTTTTAGTGTCACATTTATTGTAAATTCGGGTATGTACTACATAAGAAGACCTTCAATACATTATTCATTATGCCTATAATCCAATAATCATCATAGTTGGTGAAATTTCTGTGGAATATAGTTTTGTTTTGAGTGTTAACTACTTCTTTAATAACATCTTTCTACATTGTCTTAGTTAATTTTTTTTTTAATATTAATAATATTTTTGGTATTTCTTCAATGTTTATTTTCATAAATATTTTATAGGTATTTCTTTTTCAAAACGAAATCAGAGTTTGAATCTGTAAAAGAAGCAAAAAAACAAATCAACATCATTTTGCATTTAAAAAAAGTCTTCCTATAAAGCTACCTTCGATAGACCTATAATACTTAGATAACGCGCTACAATCTAAACCCGGTCCTCCAGTGAACAGAGAAAAAATATGTGAGCAGTCCTTGCAACTCTATCTTGACCACTGGAGATTGTTTCGCAATGGAGATTGCTTGCCCTCAATAATGTGGACTGCATTTTTCGATACCATCCACAATATAATTTCTACAAATACCACCCTTCGTATGATTTATAAAAACAACCTTAAATCCTTCATAAATTGAACAGCGATAAAACAAATTAATCAGAAACGACATCTATGGCGGAAATTTAAACACACCGGGCTTCCAGTAATTTTCAAAGCCATCGCAGATTTTCAAATAACTTACAAACATTTCTAAAAACTCTAACACAACATTGAAGCAAATGTTCTTGAAAGCGGTAACATTAAAAAAGTGTACAAATACAGACGTTCCTCCTTGACCTCTAAAGTTTCCATTCCTCTACTTCACAAACCTCACCAGACTTTATGCTCATCTGACAAAGAATCTTCCGAAACACTCTCTTTAGCATTTTCACCTGCTATTAAGTGTAATCATGACGGTATCTTTGGAGAAAGTTGGAGCAAGTCTTCACCTCGTTTAGATGATTAACGCCAAAACTGTTGAAAAGATGCGCAGATACGCTTGCAATATCCTTGACGTTAATTATGCAAACATCTTTCATCTAGAACTCCTTACCTTCTTGTTGAAAATTAGCATCCGTCACCCCTATTAAAAAAAAGGCATCAAATTTGACCTTAACAATTCATCATCATCATTGGCTCCACAACCCATGGTGGGTCTTGGTCTGCTCAAGAATAATTCTTCATTCTCTCCTATTCTTCACCTTGACTTTCCAGTTTCGTTCTAAACATTCTCAAGTCTTCCTCCACCTGATCCTTAAATCGTGCTCTGGGTCTGCCTCTCCTTCTCACTCCATCTATTCTTTGATTATAAATATGTTGGCGGCTCCATCTCATTCATTCTCTACCCCAACAATTATCGTCCCATTATCTTGCTGCTAGTAGTTGGCAAAGTCACGGAAACCAGTATTCCGAGGAGATGACCAAATTCCTTCTCTAGAAACATGTTATTCCAACACAACAACATGGATTTGTCGCTGGTCGCTCTACTCTAACCAACCTCCTACATTGTGTTAACGACTGGACGTCATTCCTTAACAGTTCGTAGCCGGACGTCGTTGTTTATCTAGATTTCGCTAAAGCCTTTGACCGTATACCTAAGCGCAGACTTCTACACAAGCTAGAACATTTCGGAGTTCGCGGTACTTTACTTCGTTGGATAGATGATTTCCTGACAGATCGACATTACAAATTTATAGTTGGCGTCTTTAGACAATTTATATTAGAGTCTTTCTCACAGGATAGGTTAGTGAAAAGTGGAGTGTCTCAGGGTTCTGTCCTTGGACCTCTGCTTTTTACGGTTTATACCAGCGATGTTCCTTATTATGTTTTAAGTAAAATATCGCTCTATGCTGATGACCATGTTAATCAATCACAAACCAGCTAACCCTCCAAATGAACTTGGACTCTATTTTAACTTGTTCCCAGTGGTTACTACCCTTAAATGCGGGAAAATGTGTAGTGCTTCGAATTGATAAAAATAACCTAATTGTGCCGTACTTTGTTAACGGGCAGCCATTATATTCTGTGTTCTCGCATACGACCTTGGGGTTATCGTAAACAGCAGCCTAACTTGGTCCGAC